GATGACAGCCAGGATGCTAGACAGGCAGACAGCTCAGCCCCAGCAGCAGGGAAACCTGCCAGAGGAGGTGAGGCCGCCGATGGAGACGGGATACTTCGATCAGCTTATCCCGATAACGGCGCCTCAGCAGGGAAACCTGCCTAACACTCCTCAGATGTCTCCCCAGAGTGGGGGCGGGGCAGAGCTGGCACTGGACCCTGATCAGCTGCGTGAGTTGCGTGTTCGACATTTCCAGAATCAAATGGATAATGCGCACACAACCTTTATGCTGAATGCCGACAATCCTGAGACTGATGGTGCGTCGTTTGACCTCTCAGACTCCTCAGTGGCAACAGCAGCAACAGCAGCCAGGGCCGTCGACATCACAGCGACGAACGAGGAGTTCGAGGAGTGGCTGCAGTACAGGGATCACCTCACGAATGAAGGGTTGCAGGACATTGCCTTCACTCGTATCTGACGCTGACGAGACGCACGACACGCGAGCAGTATAAGAGCATACGTGATGAGTATGCCAACTGGCGGGAGGAGCGTGGCGCTCATGTTCAGCACGTGTCGTACTTCCAGTACATCGACCTGGTACGTATGGCCGAAGGCAGGCCGTATGCCAGCGTCATGCGGGGTAACCCGCCAGGGAGTATGACCGACTCGCGGGGAAACCCGCCAGACAGCACAGCCGGCACTTCAGAAACCGTGCACATCAAGCAGCCTAGTAAGACTCTCTTGGACGATGGTGGAAACTCTAGCCTCATCGATGAAGGCTCGAAGATCAACATCATGGGTGAAAACTTGAGCCGCAAGTTTGTCCAGGCTGCTGAGGCACACGGCCGTACTTGTACGTTCGAACCCCGTTCTCGTTTGAACATCAACGGGGTGGGCGAAGGGTCGGCCCCAGCGGATACCGCAGGCACATTCAGCATTGCCTGCGAGTGCCAGGGCTCGACCCAGCTCGATTCGTACAAGACGAACATTGTGTCAGGCTGTGGCAAAGACCTGTCAGCCATCCTAGGCCTCGATAGTATGCAGGACAAACGCACGATCATTGTGCTTGAACGAGGCCAGGAGAAGCTGATATTCCCTGGGAAGGGACAGGTCAAGATGGAGCTCCCAGAGGGCTCCAAGATCATGCCGACGACGAAGTTGCCGTCAGGGCATCTGTCGATCAGGTGTGATCGATTTGGAGCTGCGGGGCAACCCGCCTCGAGCTCAAGCAGCACGTCATTCCAGACGGTGCTGACGGGCGAGCCGACCCCGGCGCAGGAGCGCGAACAAGTGCAGGGAAACCTGCCTCAGGGGTTGATGGAGACGCTCGCCAAAGCTACGATGAGAGGTGACAGCATCGACGATCTTGAGACGTTCGATTGCTTCGTAGCCAGGACACTGGCCCAGCATGGTGGAAGTGTACCCATGGACGCTGTACAGCCCCGCCGGAAGATAGTGATGGGGTACACGAACCGCGAGCTGCAGACAGTCAGCGACGCGAGGTCCAAAGGCGCGTTGAAGCAGCTGATGGATAATCCATCCATGCTGACAGCATTTGCGGAGCAATCCGCCTCTGAGGCCACGGCGCGCTGCAGTGCTGAGCTCCAGCATCTGAGGGAAGCCCAGATGCTGGCAGACATTGCAGGCGCATCTTCTTTATCTTGAAGATGGCAGGGCGACGCCGCCCCCTCGTCGTCTTGCCTGTTGGCCGAAAAGCCGGGGGGTAACAAGGACAGCGGGGTAACCTGCCTTAGCAAAAGAGCTTTTGTCATCGAAGATACGAGAGAGGCTTGCGCCGTCCTCCGCACCCGAGGCTATATCTGTGATCGTATTTCCCACAATGAGCTTATGACGAGTGTGGGCACAGATTACCTGGGTGCGGTGATCAGTGGAGATTACGCTCTCGTATGGATTAGTACTCCAGGTGACTGGTATGTACGAACTCCAGGAAAGAGAGTGGCCCCACATTTGTCACGTATCCAGAACCTTTTGATAAAAGCCAGGAAACTCCGTATGAAAATTATAATATTTGGTCCCCCAGGATATGTTTGGAAGTTATCTCCAGTACGTGATACTCTGGAGGATCTGATGCTGTCAGTGATACGGATGCGTTTGTGTCATTTCGGTTTTCGGGTTAATATGCAAGATAGTACACCGAGCGGTATTCATATGCAGGTAGCGACATCCATACCGATTAGCTTTAAACTGTGGACACACATGCAAACAGGCGATACCACAACATGTGTTGGATTGGCACGGCCATACGGCACGGCATGCCGAATGGCGAGCTCAGACACGTACTACACTCATCCGCCATCTGAACGACAAAATCTTGGGAAGCACCACCACGCACGGAAACGTGCCTGTATATTTGAACACCTATACACGCACGGACTATAACATCCATCACTACGTGACGACCAACAAGGGAGGACCGAAATGGTCTGATGTTATCCGGCGTGTAACAATTAACCTGGATACCAATGCGGTCATCCAGGATATCGCAGTAGCCGATCCACCAACAGGATATGATTGGCATGCACCACTACCTGCAGGGGTTGCCAACATCAGCACACGGTTGTATTGGCGACCTGAGGAACCGGTCTTGCTCGGAAACGAGCCTATTCAATCACCACAGAAACCTAGACGCGCCATCATAGATGACTGTTCTCTCCCCCTCCCGACTCTGGCGATTGACGCATGCACCCGCTCAACCGCGACAATGGGCACACAGACCGGCGAACAAAACGAGCAAGTCTTTCTTACAGAGTCGCGTATCAAGCAGAAGGAAAGGCTCAAAGCCGAAAAGGAAGCAGGCATCAAGCCTCGCCGCATCAAAAAGCACGTTGAAGACGGAAACGACGATTGAGGCGACGACTTGTCAGGACTCGAACAGGATCTTATGGCGACCTGGAGCACTGACGTCCCTGTTGAGCTGATAAGCTCCGATGAGGATGATGACCTGTTCCTTACCCTCCCCACATCTATGCCAGACACACACGCTGACATATACAGCATAGTCGCTACTCTATGCTATGGTCATAACAACTGCGTGGATATGTTGGATCTTTGTGGTGGTGAGGGTGGCATTTCAGAGCTTGCCTTCTCAAGGGGACTCTCCTCGGGAGGCAACTTAGACAAGACCACATGTGTCGACCTGGGAGACCCTACGGTGCAGCGGGCTGTAGATCACTACTTCGCAATATGCTACGTACGAGTTGCCATACTACAACCCAGTTGCCGCACCACAGGACCACCATCCTACTACAACTACAAAGTCAATCACAACACTTGGGAACAGCACCACAAAGAATATTTACCACACATAACATATTTTGTGGTAAAATTGCTGTCACTCAAGATGATGCACGGAGGTGGTTTATACGCGAACAACCTACAGTAACATGGGTGGATGACATTTCCCCATGGAAGAAACTTGCCAACCGACCACACATCACAACCGTACGCGTTGATCAGTGTGCCACGGGACTCAAAAGATACGGCTGGTGACTATATTAAGAAGCCGACAAATATCACCAGCAACGACGAGACGATTCTTAAACCCTTTGAGCGACTCAAGTGCAACGGTCAGCATGTGCACGCACAACCGTGCAACAGAGAGCTTTCACTGGCACAACAATACACTCGACGACTGCAGTCTGCCTTTGTGGAAGCCGTATATTTGGCGAAAGCCATTGACACTACGCGCGGAAACGCGCCTGTACGCACCGCGCATGCTTACCCTGCTGACCTTCCTGATCAAGCCGAACCCGGAGAAGGTATGAGACGCATCGGTGATCGTATCTTCCCAAAAGGTGGCTACATGCCTGGCATGCATCGACAACGTCCGAAAAGACAGTCCTAGCCATAACAGAGACCCTACGCAGTGTAAGTATCATGATTATATCTCTGTATATTGGCCATGTCCCGCATGCCAGAGGGATCTTACGAGAAGCAAAGGTGTTAAGAACCACCTCGATACCGAACCTGGTAAATGTCGTTTTGCTGAACCCTTTGACCTTCCAGATGATCATGACCCCGAAGGTAAGACCGTGCCAGCTTGGTGGAAACCCTTACCTAATCCTGGTGAGGGCCAAGCTTCAGCGCCAGGTGGCCGCCAAGGCGCACACGCCAGGCCACCACGACCACGATCCTTCGGGAACGCTGATCCGACATCTGATGCCAGCAGTTACGACATGCTACGAGACGCCCCCGAGCGTGGAAACACGCCTTCTGCGTCCTCTAGCGAACCGCCACAGGTTGCGGCCCGTTGTGGTCGCCTACAAGGCGTACCACCACCACCAGATGCAGTTGACGAAGGAGACCGACTGCGGAGAGCTACAAGGAACCCTCTTGCCTCCACCGGCTCGGGGCTAATCCTAGACAAAGTGGGACTGGATAACGTTCGACTGAGCATGATCAAAGAAGTTTGCGACACCTGTCGGGAATGCAGAGCATGGGAACGTCCAGGAAACTCAACATTACCTTCGGTGAGCCTTCCTGGAAGTTGGCCCGATGAAGGCGAAATGGATCTCATGTTTTATAAGAAACGAGCCATATTCCATATTATGGATCGCTGTATTCGCCTGGCAGCAGGCCAAGAAATTACCGACAGAGAACGCGACGCGATACTCGACGCTTACCACTACTGCTGGATTGCCGATCATGGACCCTTTAAAGTCTTGTACTCAGATGGAGAAGGCGCCCTGAACAATGATACAGCTAAGGCCATGATGGCGAATAAGGGTACGACACTCCGTATCCGAGCGCCTGGCCAACACGCGACTTCAATCGAGTCACGAAACGGTATTCTTAGAGGCGTCTTCCACATGATTGAGGAAGAGCTGAATAGACACAACATCCCTGTTGTATTCACTAGAGTATTGGCTGAAGGCATCTTCGTTACCAACGCCTTTACGTTCTACAACGGAGTATCGCCATACCAAGCACGCACTGGGCGCCAGCCCTCCTTTCTTCCAGATCTCGACACCCTTGACTTTCCCGTCCGTAGCCATTTTGGCTCAAGCCATTTTGGCTCAAGCCATTCTGGCTCAAGTGCATTTTGGCTCAAGCGATCGCACGGCCGTCGCCCGCCGCCCGCGCGGCATGGCGGCGCCAAGAGGGGCTTGGGCGGCCCGCGACATCGCGCTCCTGGTGGAGGCCGCGGTGCGCGGGGCCGCCGAGGCGCGCGCCCCGAGGCGGACGGTGGCGGCAGTCGCCCGCTCGGCCATTTCGGCTGCGCTCTTCCGAGCGGGCCGCGTGGCGGAGGCGGCGGAGGCTGCTGGGGACGACTCGGAGGTGCGCGACGTGGAACCGGAGCGGCCGCCCTCGGCCGCCAAAGCGGCGCGCAGGCGCCGCCGTCGCCAGCGCCTTTCGGCGCGGCGGGCGGCGGAGCGCAGCGCGGCGGCTGCGGCGGCGGCGGGCGGAGGCGCTGGGGGCCCAGCTGCTCCTCCGGGGGCCGGTGCGCCGGTGGTTGCTGGTTCGGGGCCTGCGGGGCCCGCGGTCGGCGACGTGGCGGACTCGGACATGGATGACAGCTGGGCGGACGGGCTGCGGCGGGGGGCGGAGCCGGCTCGTGAAGCCGGCGGAGCTCCTGCGGCGGCCGCGGGCGCTGCGCGGCGCGTGGCCCCTCGCCTCGAGTCGGGCGGCTCGGCGGGGTCGCGCGCCTCTGCTGGGGAGGCTGCAGGGCTGGAGCTGGCGGCGGCGACGCCGCAGGCCGAGGCCCCTTCCGACCCCTTCTCGGCCGAGGAGCTGGCCTTGATGGCGAAGGCCGTGGACTGCGGCATGGCGCCGCCCTCGGTGGTGGCCGCGGTGGCGGCGGCACGCGGTGCTCCTCGGCACGCCCCTCAAGGACGCGGACTCGGTCGGGGAGGGCAGCGGCCTCCCCGTTGTACATAGCCGCTATAGGCCACTTCCGTCGCCTGCGTCGTGGTGCACTGTAGCGGTTCTGTACTGAGTTTGGGCCTTTCCCCCCGCTGTAGAGGTCCAGACGCATGAATGTAGCGGAGCTGGGCGTGGAGCTCAAAAAAAACCCTTGACTTTCCCAAGGGGCCCGAGACATCAGGCCATGAACGAGAACGTCGCGTGAGGGAAGTTAGCCTAGAAGCAATAACTCAAGCCGCGGCTGTGGCCAAGACAAATCGTGCTCTCAGGGCTAAAACGGCTCCAGATGGTGCTCGCCTTTACTCAGCAGGGGATCTGGTCGACTACCATCGACCCACTGCCACTAAGGGCGATCATGGAGGCTGGAACGGCCCATTCCTTGTGATCCGTAACGCGTCTGAAAGAGGACATATCGTTGTCAAGGCAGGATTTCGCGAGGTGATTGCGATGTATCCTGACGTTCGTCACACGCTATACTTTGAATGTCTCCTCACACGGGAACTTGGCATGGATAACATGGCCATGCAAACAGTCCTTACGTATGTGGCACACTTTGGCGCAGGGAAACCTGCCAAAGTCTTCGGCTACATCCCAGACTACAAGGGAAACCACAATCTTTCAGACGACAGCAAGTTTCACCCGCGCGTACATCTTGCACTACAGTATCTCGTGCGAAACTATTTCCGAGTAGAACGCGTAGTAGCGGTTAGATTGGCCAGAAGTGTGTCATGTCTACCTGCAGTAAAGTATGCCACCGGGTCTACGCTGATCCACTACGACAATGATGTCAGCCCAGCCTTCCACTATTATGAGTGTGTGGGCACTGGCTTGAACATTTCTCAAATCACTGGTAGCACTCATTCCAGACTTATCCAATGTTTGACCTCACATGTTCCTCCCTTAGGATTTCACGACGACCTGGCCAAGTATCAGCACTCGGGCATCACGTCTGGAGAACACGATACGCTTGGAAACAGGCCTCCACCAGACACCCCAGGTGCCTCATCGCCAAGTGAAGGCCGTCTGTCGACAATCTATGAAGATAACGAGGAACATAATATCGAAGCCATTATGCTGGAAGAGTGGTACGACGAGTTACGTATGGACCTTCATCCCACGACGACAATCGACGATTATCCTTACTGCGTCCCAACAACCATGCTGCCCGACCAATGCGTTTTGGTTTCAGCATCTGTGGACGAAGAAGATATCGTATTGTCGGAAACGCTCGGAGACGAGCCCGAACCACAAGAGCCCTGTCTAGTCTCTCTCTGCTCAACCACACCTGACGAGAGCTACTCTCTTGACAGTGATGAATATGGTCCCTATGTTGAGTTATGTTTTACAGCAGAAATGTAAAGAGTAGTGATGGATCAGACTCAACTTGCACAGCTCGACACTGATGTGGTCGCAACGATGAGAGTATATGTATCCTCTGCTGCTAAACGTGCTGCGGTAGTCAAGGAAGACGACCTACTCACCAAAGCCGACATAGCAGCACACCCGAAAGAGGTTAGTCAAGCTTTGCACACTGAACTCAAGATCTGTCTCGACAACCTGTGCTTTGAGATGTATGATTTATCCGAAGCTTCCAACATCATGACGTCCAGGTATGTATATAAGTGGAAGTTTGCGAAGATAGGTACCGGGAGCGTTAAAACCATCCGTCTCAGACTTGTCCTTCGTGGATTTATGGGCACTGAGGCTTTCGATGTGGAAACCTTCTCGGGGACCGCTCGAAGCCAGTCCCAGAGACTCCTAGCAAGTGAGGCGGCATGCCATCCAGAGTGGATCTTAGCATCCATGGATATCGACAAGGCGTTCCTCAAGGGTCTGACCTATGAGGAACTTGCCCATGCCACCGACGAGGAAACTCGCATGGTTTGCTTCACCCTTCCACCGGGAAGTGCACAGGTACTTCGTACACTGCCTGGCTTCTCATCCTATGACGAAAGCCGACACTGCCTCAGGTGCCTCAAGCCAGGAACGGGTACAAAGGACGCCCCAAGAGCGTTCTCTCTCAAACTTCGTACGACCACACGAGCTATAGGCCTTACACCGACAAGGTATGATCCCGAGTTTGAATTCAGCCAAGGCTTGCTAACGGCAAAACATTGCGATGCTATTAATATGACAGGCCTAGAGAAAAATATAGACGACTATGTACAACGTGTCGAAAAAGGTGTTTGGCAAATGGAAGCTCAACAAACACTCATATACGAACTGCGCCGTTCGCTACACCAAGAATGACCAAGGGGATGTGATCATGGATCAGGACGAATATATCAAGCAACTACGTCCTATCACACACCCAGAACTTACAGGAGCGGCGGCCGATGCCAAAGCCACCAAACTCATTACCGACATGTTCGTCAGCTTGCGAGGAGCCCTCGCCTATGCCCTTCTTATTCAAGTCTGGCTCATGGTATACGTGGTCTCTCTTCAGAGAATCCAAGAGCCCACCAACCTACAAGTCTGGCGACTGAATGCTGTGACGCGAAAGCTGACCAGCAGCCCGAAACGCATCACCTTCCCTCGAATGAAGCCGACGAGTGAAGTTGACATACACAGCGATTCAGGGTATCGGAAGCTCACCGGGGAGGAGGACGATGAGACCAAGGGCCATGGCATACGCGGGGCCAACGTACTACGGCGAGGAAACTCGCCTCAAGGCAAGTCCGTCGTTCATCTCTGTGACGGACTATGCAAATCACACCGACTGCAGGTTAGTTCCAGCTATGCCGCGGAGGCACTCGCAGCTGCACATAACCTCGATGAGTGTTACCCTGCGCTCATCACTCTCCACGAGCTCAAGGCAGGGGCTCTGACTCCACGACAGCTACGAGATATGCGTGAAGTTGGGGGCCTAGCCATTAAAGTATCTCTTGCCATAGGCGCTGAGTCGGTTTATAAATCGCTATCAAGCAAGGATCTTAAGATACCGACAGAACGGACCTTGCTTGGACATATCAGCTGGATACGTGAGCTCACGCATATAGGTATAGTGCATAATGTGCAGTGGTGTGATACTAGAGATATGACCGCAGATGGGCATACAAAGGGAAGCATCGATCGGGAGCTGCTTTTGGAAGTGATGTCAGGCACTCAGGCATTTAAGTATGACGTGAAGCAGTTTGTTCCCTTTCGGGGTCCCGAGGACAGAAACAAACCTAAGTCTAATCAATTTTAGTCTGTCCTTGTTGCCCCCGCGGTCCAATTTGCCAGCATGGGCGCCTACTACAGAGGCGCCCTTCTAGGTGCTCGGAAACGAGCCTTACGTTTCACGCCTGGCAACGAGCCGGCTTTATATGATTCAGGCTCTTTGCCTTAATACCCGCTTGCTCGGTGAGGTACGGCCCGTTTGGCTTACCTCTAGCCGGGCCGATAGCCCTTTACTATTCAAGGGGCTGTCTTGCATTTGCGTGAAATGCCTTGCGAGGAAACTCGCCTTACAGTCTGGTGCTAGGCCAGTCTGTATGCACTGTTTTCTTGCAAACAGTTGCGCGCGCGGCCTTTGTAGAGCCTAACGGCTGCGCGGCTATACTCTCCGTCTCCTCCCCTCCCGACTTTAATGGTAGCTCTTTGGGAGATGTTACATAGAATCGGGAGTATAGCTCGCGCGCCGTTGCCTTTGGCTCAAGGCGCGCGCGCCCTATTTGCCCGGACACTTACCTTAGTGTTCGCTATGTGCTGGAAAGACCGATACATCGATCTTATCCTATCCTACCCATCCACTCCCCATATCGTATTCCTTCGACATGGAATTGGATGCAATGTGAGCACATCCGCCCCCCTTGGAGACGGATGCTATTTGACCTACCAGGCTCACTTTCGACTGCTCTTTCCTCCCGAGTTTGCGGCGGGTCACGGTGGGCGAGCGTGGCGCGATGAAGCTGGACGACCTGGAGCTCTCGCGGGCGGCGCTGCCGCCGGAGCTCTCCGGGCTCGACGCCCTGTGGCGCCAGCAGCGCCGGCCGCGCCCGCGGGCCGCATGTCGGCGAGGCGGACGCGCGAGGCTCGGCTGCGCTCAAGAAGCGGTAGGTTGTTCGTGTCGCGTCGGCGCGGCGGCGGTCCCGCCGTGCGCGTTCAAGGTCGAGCGCCGCCAGTGGCCCAGAGCAGCCCAATAGTCTAATGAGAAAACTCGGCATAAACATAAACTTTCGGGACTTCACGCGGATTTCCTGGATCGGCGCATGAGCCCCCTGGCGCGCTCCGCGCGCCAGGCAGGGGGCTCCAGCGCGGATCCAAGAGATCCGCGCGGACTTCCAAATTGATATGTTTTGTGCAGCTGAGTGTTTCGCGAAATTGCGATCGGAAAGCCGCCGATCGTTACAGGTGGAACGATCCACGTGGTGTCAGAAGCCAGCGCAGAAGTTCTTCACACACAGACGTGCCGTGCAGACACTTTCGTCGGTTCCCGTTGCCTTGGGATGCTTTCCAGAAGCTGCGCCTTGGCGAGAGCGCTCGGGGCTGCCCGTGTCGTCCAAGGGCGGCCTCAGGAGATCTGCCCCAGGCCTCAGGACGACCCTTCGTCAGAGTGACCCTAGGTGCGCGTCTTTCGGGGGCCCCGCGGGGGGGGTGGGGGGGGCAAACCCACGCACGCAGGCCGCCGATGTCGCACCGCGTGCGACGATCGGTTAGCCGCGCACAAATGGTCACTCTTGCCCAGAGTCACACCCGCGCCTGACTGGGAGGATCGAGGATGGTGCTTGGACGTGCCAGGCCCCGCCCCTTGGGCTCCACGGGCGCTCGCCTGGCCACGACTGGGCGCAGTTCGACACACTAGCCAGGAGGGGCCCAGCTGAGAGGGCCAGCGGTGCGCAGGAAGCAAGCATGCTCGGGGCGGGCGAAGGCCAGGGGCCACTCCTGCGTGCAGTCGGGAGGCGACGGCGTGTCTGCGGTACCCGTGGCGGCAGCGCCGGCTGTCGGTGCCCTCTCCTCCGCTCTTGCTGGTCCTGCCTGCCACCGCTGGTGGCTCCTGCGCCCCCGCGAGCGCCGCGCCGCGCTCCCTGGCGGAGGCGGGGGGCGGCCGTCCGCCGGCGTGAGGCGCTCGGCGGCGGTGGCGGTGGCGCTGGGGCGGCCGGGCTGCCGGGTGGTCCCCCGAGGGCGTCCTGGGCGGCAGCCGGGCGCTCGTCACGGGGTGTCCGCGTGGGGCTCTCGGTGGCGACGGCGAGGGCGCGGGGGCGGGCAGCAGGAAGCGTGGGCGTGGGCATGGCAGCCTTCTGCCGCTGACCACGCCGCGGCGTTTCAAAGGGCTCCATGCGTGCAGGCGTTTGGGGCATTCATGCTTCAGGTGGCAGGGTCGCAAAACAAGATCGGGGGAATCTCAGGTTGGACGGTCGGAGCTGTAAAGAAGTCGCCCTCCATCACCGTCGGGAATTTCGAGATCTTACGCCTTAAGCTGTAAGGACGTCTCTGGCGAGAGCACGACTCTGAAAACCACCCGTCCCAGGCGGGAGTCGGATTTTGAACACGATCCGCCCTCCAGTCCAGAGGCGAAATTGCACGGCGCAAGGCCAGAGCGTGATCTTGCAAAGTATCGCCCTCCATCCGCCTAACTGCTAGAAGTCTTTGATGCGAATGCGCCAGGTGTGACGGTGAGGGCCACATGTTGAAAACGGCCCGATCTCCATCCGTTCAGATGTTGGAAGTTTTAAGATGAATGTGCGTGGCGCTTGCGATATCCATGCGTTGCGCAGCACACGCTTGAATCATGTACACTGCAGCTGCATGCAAACACACACACACACTGGCCTGTTAGCGCTATGGTATGCAAGCACATTCCCAACGCGTACCTCGAGCAACTCCCTGAGCCATGTATCGTTGAGCCTTTGCTCCCAACTTTCTTGATATGGATCGGATGCTTTGTTCCCCTCTGCATCTACGCAACATTCGTCCGTGCCAAGGGCGGTCTCCCGTCAGCACGGCAGACGCCGAGAGAGAGAGAGAGACAGAGAAGACAGAGAGAGAGAGAGAGAAAGAGAGAGAAAGCCAGCACTCGCCCTCCGCATCCACGGTGAGAAGCGGGGTCTGCACCCCTCACCTGGTATCGAAGCCGAGGTGTCCACGCACTGGCCCACCGTCACAAGAGAGAACACAGCACGTGCCTGCCGCACTATCGCAACCGCTGGAGCTTCATGCTGAGGAGCGCGCGCGGGAGTCCAACCCGCACTCACATTCCCCACGACAAGCCGTGCAGCCGTCCAGAGAGGGAGGCCAGGGGTGCCATGGCACGTTTAATTCTTCCTGAGGTAGCAGGCCAGCACCTTGACCACCTCGCGTGCACAACTGCCGCATTCTCGGGAGCTAGCACTGTGGACGCTGCAATGTGCGCAGCCACGGCCTTCCAGAACGGCGTCCAGAGTCTCACTACCTGCGTGGCGAGCCCCTCGTCCTCGATCCCCAGGACGACCCTGAGGGCAATGTATGGACAACGACCCGCTCGCCGTCCGTGTAATTGCTTGACGCGTTTCGAACGAATGTGCGCGGCGCTATCGGCTGAGATCCGTCCGAGTGACTGCTGGATAGTTCAAGCTTTTGTCTGAAATGGTCGGCCCTACCGGCACGACTGGTGGTGCTACGAGGGGAAGTTATTGATCGAAGACGCCTACTGCGAGTCACCGCCGCCCCCTGCCTTTGGAAAGCGCCCGCACTGAGAAATGTGAAACTAGTATATCGCGTGTTCCACTGTTTATTCAATGATGATTGCCACGTGGGCCGACCCCGAGGACACCCCAAGACGGCCCAAGGGACTGCCCAACGTGCTTCTTGGACCCTCTTGGGGCTATCCATCCGTCCTCTCCTCCCCTGCCCAGGGGCTGCACGAAACACACGTTGCAGGTAAGAGAGATAGAACCTTAACTGGTCACGATCGAAGACGAAGAGGGCGTGTGTCGAAGGTTTGGAATATACGTGTTGCATGGCACGCGAGCAGATAAGAGCGACCAGTCTTACAATGATTGTTGTTGTTGTTGCTGTTGTTGTTGCTGTTGTTGTTGTTGAGGTTGCCATTGTTTTTGCGGTTGTTGATTGTTTGTTAATAGTTGCTGTGGTTGTTTTGGTTGATGTTGTTGTTGTGTTGGTAGATGTTGTTATTACTGATGTTGTTGGTTGTGTTATTGTTGTTATTGGTGGTGTGGTTGTTGTTGGTTGTTGTTGCTGTTGTTTTGTTGTTTGTTGTTTTTGTTGTTGTTATTGCTGTCGTCGTTGGTAGTGTTGTTGTCGAGCTTTCATTGCTGCGGAATAACTATTGTTGGTTACCCCATCCGGTAACCATTGCTTGTCAGTTGAAGCGTTTCTCCCGGGGCATGTGTCCACAAACTGTACCCCTGGCCCCCGGTTTACAACAGCAGCGGTTCCCGCCCGATATTTCCTCACAGTTTATTTCCACATCGCGCTCTCGCGCGGGACTTCCCCGCAATCTGTTCCGACGCCGCGCCCTCGACTCTTTTAAGGAATCACGCTCTCGCTGTGGATTTCTCACGATTTATTTGGGAAATGCGTTGTTGCTCGAAATTTCCTCGCGATTCATGCATGCTGAAGTTATCTGATTATGCTGTTACTGCTACAATTCTGTATGGAAGCGGCTGCTGGACTATGACCGCTTCAAGGGACAACCGCCTACTGAGTGAGAGACGGCGAATGGTGCGAAAGATCGTGCAAACCCCAAGGCGCCGCTTGCCGAACGCGATGGATTTGGAGTCTTGGGTGGACTGGATAAAGACTGCCACTGACAAGGCAGAAGACCCTTATAATCATGTTGGCTTGCGATGTTGGAATGTATTGCAACGAGAACGCAAGGACGCGCCCAAGTGTAGAATCCAGAACGCAGTGGATGGACGTTGGGCGAAACTGCTTTTGGAGTGGGAGCCCGCGGGATCCAGAGCCCGGGGGAGACCGTGCACAAGGTGGACGACTTCATATCTTTTCACGTCATCATGTACAACTCAGCACTATGGGTGCCAATCCGCCGATCGGCGCGTGTGAGAAGCAGGCTGGAGGCCGTGTGCCGGCAGCCCTCCATGGGCGCGGGAGTGTACTCTCGCACGCCGCTCTCTCTCTCTCTCTATCTCTCTCCCTCTCTCTTTCTCATACAGGACGTGCGCTTCAGCAGCCCGCCTGCTCGACCTGGCCGCCTGGGCCCGCCTTCCCGACCCGCCTGTTAGGGTCTACCGGCCCGATCTGCCCGTATGGTTCTGCCACGTGCGTTCTGCTCCTAGCCCCCCTCGTGCTACTATCTTTCTCCCTCGTTGTCCTCGAAGCCGGTGCGGAAACAAAAAAAAACATACTCAATCGCACCACAATGCAAGACGCAATGAACATGTCACGAATTTCGTTGCCGTTGCTGCGGTAGTGCGGTGGTTGGCGCGGGGGTCGGGCATCTGGTCGGCGCGGGAATCGGTAACCTGGCCATTGATCGCACCACTATGCAAGGCGCAACGAACATGTCACGAATTTCGTTGCCGTTGCCACGGTAGTGCGGTGGTCGGCGCGGGGGTCGGGCAGTTGATCGGCGCGGGACTCGGTGACCTGGCCGTTGATCGCACCACGATGCAAGACGCAACGACAACGTCACGAATTTCGAATTTCCGCACCAGCTTCGAGGACGCCGTGCCCGCCCAGGGCGGATCACGCACAGAATTCTGCCCCACTTATCGTGTGACGCTACGCCTGAGTCAGCACCGACGCCAGTATCAACGCTAGCGCCTTTACCAGCACCGCCGCCAGCACTGACGATGGCGCCTGCGCAGCCGCCGACGCCAGCACCAAAGCCAGCACTGGGACCTGCGCACACGCGGGCACCAACGCCAACGCCTACGCCACAGTTCGCGCCAGCACCGTCGCCAGCAGCTAGGGTGCACCAGGGAGCTGCCCAGCTCACCGGCGTCCCCTTCAGCCTGGGCGCCAGCACCAGTCTGAACGCCAACCCCGACACCCCCTTTCCGACGTCCAACGCCG